GGCGAGGCTCACCACCCATTTATCCCTCCGCCTTTCAATTAGCCCCACATGTGATTATCGGCCAGGTTGGCACAATTAACTAACTCACATGTGTAATAAGGGAGTGACAATGGGATTATTTGCAATAAACAGAAACCTAACATTTTCTGGAAGACAATACTAAATGGAGACTTGCCCTAAACTCAAATGCTTCATCTGACTCACCCTTGTAGGACTCTGTTCCTTTAAACATGCTGATTTCTTCAATAGAGCACAATGCTCAGAGCAAAATGGTCTAAGATTTCTTTCACCTATTGTTCAAATTTACAATGGCTTTTTGGCACCAATTTTTGTGTTTTTTGCTTTTCTGAGCCTAAAAACTTAAAATGAACATCTGAGGGTAGATAGTTTGCATGAGTTCCCATAAAATCCACAAAGCCAGAGGTAGAATAGAAGTAATAACAATATTAAACCAAATGCCTGAAAATGTTAGAATAAGACTTCATGGACTCTATTTCAACAATTACAAGTACTACGAGGTGACTGTCTATATCCAAATAACATCAGTAGCAACTGTTGTTGCTGTTGTTAGATGTCATCATGTCAGTTCAGACCCATAGTGACCCTGTGCACAAAATAACCAAACACTGCACAGTCCTGCACCATCGTCACAATTGTTCTTATACTTGAGCCTACTTCTGCAGCCTCTGTGTCAATCCATCTCATTGAAAGCCTTACTTTTTTTCACTACCACACCACTTTAGTGAACATGATGACCTTCTCCAGGGACTGGTTTCTCCTGTATGTAAGATGAAGCCTTGCCATTTTTGCCTCTAAGGAGAATTCTGACTATATTTTTTTCTAAGATTTAAACATATTTTCCCATAAGAAATAATGGAAAACTAAATAATTGGTTTTGAGGTTCAAAAGTTATGCTTCTAAATTCGTTTCTCCAGTACTTTAAATCACTCTGGAGGCTTTTAGTCTTCTCAAATATTACTGTCTTTCTTGGGTGAGAAATGCCTCAGTCCTTGGCTTCGCATGAGAAAGAAATTCACTCTGAAGCCTGGTTTGTGATTCAAGTGGGTTTTATAAAGGATAGAAGAAGTTTCAGGTTTTACAGTTAACTGCACACGTAACTGTACCCCCTCCCCACATGGCAACCTGAGGGAAGAGAGACAGAGAGAGAAGGAGAAGCTGAGTGAAAGGCAGAGGAGCAGCAGGAAAGAGAAAGCAGTCTCCAGGTTCCATTTAGGGCCTTTTGCTGGGAGGCGTGGTAGATGATACTGGCTGTCCCCATTGCTGAATTAAGCTCACTTGGCTCACCTGAACAGGCGCATGCCCTTTAGCCTTTATTGGCTTCCAACCTCCTGTAGGGGGCCTCACGGCATGGAGAGGAACAACCCCCTATCTTGCTACCTAACATTATCACCATCCAGTTGTTTCTGATCTAGCCAAATTAACAATTATTTTTCAACCTCTTTGATGATCTGGGTTCTTTGTTTTATAGTTAACAATATCATACCTTTCACTCCATTAGCCATTTTAATCATATTTTTTTCTTTGAAAATGTTGATGATGTCAACTTAGCCATGTTGTTTCAGCAGCCAAATCAGAC